GCTGCTGTCTTTGCGGTCGCTTGTTCGCAATGGCGCAGCGCTCTTGTTGTTGTTATTGTTATTGTCGCTGTCGCTGTTGTTGCTGCTATTGTTGTGTATCTTTCGCTTCAGTGGCTTAAGTTCGTACTTGGCACGACTTATCTTTTACACCGACTTGTTTGTAAAATGACGAAATGAATGTGCGGTCAGTAGCTCGCCAAATACCATCTGCACAACATCTTCGTCTTCGTCTTTGCCTTCAACGTCTTCCTTGGTTGCTCGCTCCTCGTTCTTCGACTTTCGTCTTTCGGTTTTATGTTCATCATCAGCATTACTTTCTTCATCATCATCTTCGTCATCTTCGTCGTCATCATCGTCAGCACTCATCCTTTCGTCAAGTTTGCTTGCTCCGACAGGCGAGTGACGTTGAGCACTGGGCGCAACCCAAAGCACAATGCAGTCCAATGGATTGTGAGCATCATAACTCAGAGTCAGTCACCAGTTAGCGGTTACAAATGTTCCCAAATGTATTAAATAACAGAGTTGTATGTCCAATACTTAAATGCATCTATCCTTGTTGCACTTTGCTGTCTCTGTGTGTGTGTGTGTCCTTTGTTGTTTATTTATGGTAGTGCAATTTAGTTGTTAATGGAATAGAATGAAGTAAATAATGAAATGTGGAGAATTTGCTGTACTTGGTTTTATTTCGTTAATAGCTTTAGTTGATCTGAGTGCAGCAAAACGAAATTGAACTTTCATGATAAGAATTTTGTACTCAAATTTAAAAATTCATTTATTATCGTTGATTAAAATAACTAAAATTATTATTGTAATATACGAATCTGAGCTGCCCTAGTCTTCAGTTGGGTATCATCAATGATATAATACTCGTTGACAGCATAATTTCAGGACTCGACCTTCAAGTAATATTAAAAATATTATTAATCAGGTTAAATCTACTGCTAACACTGTCATATATATATATAATTATCATAATTGATTGACGAAGATCAGCATTTTATTATATACAATATTAATAAAATAATATTTTTAAATAATATTTCTACCAACAAATCCAATAACTGCACCAAAACCCATATTAATGGAAAAGAAATAATAATAAGCATAGCAAACAAAATCCTACAGCGCATTAAGCCTCCTGCTGGCACCTCGGCCTATAGAGTGCACATTTAATTGCCCAACAAGCTCCAGTTTTTTCAGCCCGACCTGCTAATGACCATTTGGCCTGGGGAGGTCCATGTGCAGCATATTATATTTGCGGGCAGCCGCGCACTTTTAAATCGTGGCCAGATATAAAATACGCACCATCATGTTGAGTAACGACAGTGGGCAACAGCCGTTGCAGCCGCACAAGCCTGCCCCTGCCCCTGCCCCTGCCCCGCTTCCTTTGCCGCTGCCAACTGGCTGTGGTGCGTCCTGGCAGGACATGGACGCGTCGTAATTAGCTGTGCACAGCGTTGCTGGCGATAATTAATGACGTTGGTCACGTTGGTTTCATGTCGATTTCATTTCATGACACGGCCGCAGGCAGTTCCTGTGCGCCCTGCCCTGCAGCCCTCTTGCCTGCCCCCTCGTGTGTCCTGTGCGGTGATTTGTCAAGCGTTCGCATTCAATAAAATGAAGAGCAGCAGGAGTAAAAAACAACCCACGCACACACAAATTTGCAATGCCTTTGGCTGCATGTAAATCCACATTAAATTGAATTTCGTTTGCTACACAAAAAAGGAGAAGAGCAAAAATCGAATTTTTTATTTTGATTTTCTTTCACTCTGTATTTTATATAAAGTACTACATCCGCTGTTTCCGCTCCTGCTGCTCCTGCTGCTCTGCTGGTTCGGCTCTGTGAATTTGCTGAGCTTCTGCTCCATTTTGCAGGCAGCAGCTTCATTAAATGCCGCCCATTTTGAAATTCAATTGCAATTTGAACTTTGAGGCCATTGGATAAATTCGAATAATTGAATAATTTATAGCGAAGCCAAAAGGCAACTTTCTCTGCCAGCTACGGACTTTGCGCTCCAATTGGAAACCAATTGGATTATGCAACATTATTATACACCAAAGAAGTTGCAAAGACCAGAATTTGGGGTTTGGCTTTCGGTTATCGACAACTCAACTCGTTTCGATTTGCTAATTGTTGTTTGCGTGCATTTCTGTGCATATTTGCGTATCACTTGATTCTGGCCAAAAACCTAATGACGTTTCCATTTGGACAAGTTTTGCAATTGCTTTGATTAGTGCGCAGCTTGTTAACTAATTGAGTAGCCGCTGCTGCTGCCCGCTCCCACTCCCGCTGCTGCTGTCAGAGTCTCAACGTCAATCCCGAACGCAATGGTGATTGCAGTTTCGGCACCCAAAGGGCATAAAATTAATTAAATTCGTTTTGTTTGACATTTCCGCGCTTGCACATGATTCAAAATTTCCATTCAATAATGCACGAGCTATGCATTAGTGTTTGTACAGTGCCCAGCAAATATTTGCTTGCACATACTATATCTGATTTATGTATGTGTATATACTAAGTAGTAAATATTTAAAGCATTTGGTCAAATTCATTTGGCATTGCATCAATGCCAGCCATATACATGCGAAAGAAATTCTAAGGGCAGGCACTTGGACTGCATTCGAGAGCATTCTGCAGTGCCTTGTGAATTTGAGATAAATACTTATGGAATTTAATCAAACTAAAATTATTGCCAATATATTAGAGCTGAAATATAGTAATGAAATTAAGTTATGAT